TATATATATATATATATATATATATATATATATTCATAAGTTTATCATTAGTTTGTTGGTTAATTCATTACTTTTCATATATTGAGATCGTTCAAATCTTTTATTACAATTTTTTAGAAAAAAATAATAAATTTGAAATTAAAATCTAAAAACTAAGAAAATGAAACTAATAGAATTCAAACTTGGACTTGTGGTGGAAGAAAAAGTCCTGTACCAAGAGAAATTTGTGGTTTTATTATAGTTTCAAAATATATCCTATGACACAACAAATTGATACGGTTATATTTTTCACAACCTTATAATTTTTCACACTACAACGAAAAAACAAAACGGTAACGCGTTGCCACCATACAAAAAAAAACCAGGTCCATCCCTAATAGTCATGGAATTATCATATATTTATTAAAAAATTATATATTAGAATCGATTTTTTAGACCTTAGAAAAATATATATAATTTAAAAAATATTATCGGTGTGACACCAATATAAGTTATTTATCCAAACACTCAAAAGTATTTGTTAACGATATCATACTAAAATAAGTTAATAAGTTGTTTTTATAAACAATCTCAAACACCCACTTAATAACAAGGAAAAGGCGATTCTGAATTAATACGTTGTTCTAAACAAAATATTTTATTTGTTATTATTATATTATTATATTTTGGATAAGAAAATTGTAAAAATTGTGAGATGGGACAAGAGAGAGGGGTGAAAGTGAAATATTTGAGAAGGGAGCATATTGGAACATTGTAAAACCTGAGGGGTCAAAAATGGAGGAAAGAAGTCTTATATTCCAGCAAGGCAGGATAAAAACTAATACGATAAGGTAATTGTAATGAGGTGGCAAAAATGGATCATATTGTTTTGTTGGGTAGTGTAGATGACTCACCTTCTAAGTAATCACCACCAATTATCTACAAAATTATATTACAAGACTATTTTATTTAAAAATTCTGATTATATTTTATTTATCTGATATTTATATTATTATATTCTTATTTTATTTTCAAACCTTTAATAATCCTTATTAATTCTATATAATTTAAAGAAACAAAGTATTGATATATTTAAAATCTTAAATAAATTATATGTAATTTTATCTAAAAAATTACTAGTAATGATATTCCAATCTAATAACTCTCAAGTAGTTTAGACTTTAGAAGATTCATTCTTTATTTTAAGTTTTTTTAATAAATCATAAATAAATCATGTTTTTTTATTAACCTGGATATTCAACCCGTTATGCGAGACGACTAATCCCATGATGACCACCTGTTTTACGAGTAGCTTGGAATCATCATATTTGAACATCTGTGGCCACAGGAGAATTTTTATTTCTCATTGGATTTAAACTTTGAGACTTAAAGACATTTTTGACCTTTGGAGCTCAAACTCAAACCAATCAAACACCACCCTTGTGGTTAAATAAATCATGGTTAATAAGTCGTTAGAAATTTTAAACTAAGTTTTTGTGAGGAGAAATTAAATTGTTGGCGTTTAATCAATGATTATTACCTAATTTTTGATAAAGTGTTGTATATCAAAGTTTAAGTTAGATGAATCTTACAAGTATAATCATATTCTCTTGTCACCACCACGTTTTTATTTTCTTTTTTTAATTTGTGTTAGTTTTGTTCACCTAATTTTATGCCATAATTAGGTATGTGTGGTTTGTTATAATTTATTTTACTCTAAAAAATATTTGTATTTCACTTATTTCAGTTTAAAAATGAAGAAGAAATATTTGTATTTTTAAGAAAGGTGGTTATGACCATCTTTTTAATTATATCCATTGGATCATCTCAATTCAATAGTTTGGAAGAGTTCTTTGATTCTTTTTTGTTTTTCAGGGTTCTTTTATGATCTCATCCCACTACAACAAATTTGGTTTTACATGATTTTTTTTCCATCTTAACTTAAGGTATTATTTTTAAAATTGGAATATAGCCTATGTACAGACTATATTCATCTTGGACGTTGGCATATGAATTTGAATGATATCATGTGGGTGCTTAAGATGGAATGCCGAACAAGTAGAGCAGACATTTATTTTAAAAGACTCATGTCAATGTCGGAGAATTTAAGATGGAATATAGTCTGGGAGGAGGTTGCATTCATCTTAACTAAGCAGGTATTGTTGCGATGGAATGTGGTCCAAGCAGAGTCCACATCCATTCGAAGTTGACTGCTTGTGTTATAAGGTTCGTATTATTGTTGGGTTCCAGAAATTCAAGTGTGATTTCGACCTAACCTATGTTTTCAAAACCTAACAAAATTTGAGGCAGGATTTAAGTCGATGGTTCAAAGGCAAGATGTAGAAGAGTTTGGAAGGTTGCATAAGAGTCAACACCTTAGCTAGTAGTTGGAATAGAAAATTGTCTACCTTATGTAATAAGTTCAATAGTTGTTTCACTGCAACATTTGAGAAATTGATTTCTACCTACTTAATTGAAAGTTCGGGACCTTAATCCATTATGTGTGATTATTTCTTGTCATTGGTTATATTTTGGATTGTTGGTCGTTACATAATATATGTTGATGTATATTAAAAAAT